TTTTTTTTTTTTTTTAGAGACAGAGTTACACTTTGTCACCCTCTGTAAAGTGTTGTGGAGTCACAGCTCTTGGGCTTAGGCAATTGCCTCAGCCTCCCAAGTAGCTGGGACTACAGGCACCCACTACAGCACCTAGCTATTTTTGTTGCAGTTTGGCTGGGGCCGGGTTCAAACCTGCCATCCTCTGTATATGGGGCCGGCACCCTACTCACTGAGCCACAGGCGCCTCAAACTCTTGGGCTTAAGCGATTCTCTTGTCTCAGCCTCCCAAGTAGCTGGGACTACTGGCTATTTTTTAGAGATGAGGTCTCACTTTTGCTCAGGCTGGTCTCGAACCTGTGAGCTCAGGCAATCCACCCACCTCGGCCTCCCAAATGCTAGGATTATACACATGAGCCACCTCACCCAGTCCTAGCCTTCTTTTTATTTATTTATTTATTTATTTATTTTGGCCGGGCTGGGTTTGAACCCACCATCTCCAGCATATGGGGCTGGTGCCCTACTACTCCTTTGAGCCACAGGCGCCGCCCCTTCTTTTTATTTTTAATATGATCGGGCAAATTAGCAACGTAACAAATTAGAAGTATTCAACATATATTTATTAAGTAGTACTACTGTGTTATGCTCTTCTACATATATTAAGAGTCCCAGGGGGCATAAGTTAAAAGCAAATGAGATCACAGATGTGAAACCCCTTAAGTGGTGTAAAGCATTATGCGGGTCTGAGTGAAGGCTATTTGTGACACACTGTGTGGCCCCAGGGGAGGTTTCATCTTGTGTGAAGTAATGAGCACGCTCAGTCTGGCTGTAGCAGGAGCCAGCAAGTGCTAAGGGGCAGGAGCCACGGGAGTTGGAAGGAAGGAATAGTCGCATCAGATGCCCAAGTCTGGGCAAGGTTTTGTGGGGGTGGCCTTTGAGATAGATTACAGAGGTGGCTGTGTATCAGTAACTTTCAGCATACAGGAATGGGTGTGCTGGTAGAAGGGACAGCTTCTGCATAGAGTATGAAGCTTAGGAGGATTGCCCTCTGACTTCAGCCTGTCTGCTTTAGCCTGCGGAGTGGAGCTCCCACCCTGTTTCTCCCCCAGCTCTGATGAAGCCCCTGTGGCCCCAGCACCAGGCAGTGCCTCCGATGAGTAGTCAGCATTCTGGAAATGTTTGGGGGATGAATTCTTCAACCAGGGAACTAAGGACATGTTGTTTTCTTATTGTTGTGTAGGATTTTTCTTTCGGTTTCCTACTTTCTTTTTTTCTTTTTTTTTTTTTTTTGAGACAGTCTAACTTGGTCACCCTTGGTAGAGTGCCATGATGTCACAGCTCACAGCAACCTCAAACTCCTGGGTTCAAGTGATCCTCTTGCTTCAGCCTCCCAAGTAGCTGAGACTACAAGCACCTGCCACAGTGCCCAGCTATTTTTTAGAGATGAGGTCTTTCTCTGGCTCAGCTTGGTCTCAAACCTATGAGCTCAGGTGATCCACCCGCCTCTGCCCCCCAAGTGCTGGGATTGCAGGCGTGAGCCACTGTGCCCAGCCCAGCGTTTCCTGCTTTCTGATTGCTCTTCCTTCTGCTAATTGATGTTTGTCTTCTCTTTTCAGATGAAGCTACTAAACTTATATATAAAGAGGGCCCAGACCACGAACAGCAACAGCAGCTCCTCTTCTGATGTCTCCACGCACAGCTAATGGCAGCACCAGTCTCTTGTGCAGACTTACAAACAATTGGTGTTGCCTCTTAGTGGCCTCTCCCCACCCCCATCATCGGCTGTCCTGTCAGTGCAAGGAGGCCCGCACATATTTATTACAATCAGTATTTCGGTCCCTTCCAGCTTTTATGTAGAATCTGACTGGTATTGAATGTAAAGGAAGCAAGGCCTGTGTTGCAGTTTTCATATGAAACAAAAGGAATAAGAAAGAAAGAGCCATACAGAAACAAGTCTCGTGCAGCCTGCTGAGATCATTAAACTGTGTGTGTGCAGTGCAGTTTAGTCAGAGCTCTCTGGGCACTACTGGGTAGAAAGTAGCTTTTTTTTTTTCAGGTAATAACAGATTTGGGGGTGAGGTGTGTGTTACTCTGTGTTCCTCCTTCGTAGCTGATTTTCTTGTGAGTATGGTCTGCGTGGGGCAGAGCCTTCCCCTTTCACAGCCAATACTGTGGAGGGTTGTAGGGTTGTATGTCTTTAAGTTGTGTTTTTAGACCTATTAAAAATGGGAATCGAGTCTTGGCCAAAAAAAGCCTGAAGATGGCCTTTCAACAAACACTGGAATTTCTCTTGTCCAGATGGGAGGGCAGGTTGCCCTCACTTTTAGCACAGACTCAGGAGTGCACCTCTTGGACTCCTTCTAGTCCCCCAGGAAGCTTCATAGACAAGGTCCCTACCCAGAGCTTTCATGCTAAAGAATCCTTCACATTTAATTCCAGACACAAAAATAAGGTACATTTGTAGCATCACTTAGAGATGCATGAACAGGCACTTCACAAGGCACAGAAGATGGAGGAGAAGTAGTTTGTCCTACTACTAAGGTCTTGGGGGACAACCTGCTGAGGGTAGTTGGTGGTTCAGGTTTACCACCGGCACCTTCCATTGCTCCCTGCAAGCTTTACCTAAGCTGTTCAGTCTAAGGTGTTTTCAGTTGATCTGGAATATGGCAGGTTCACCATCTCAGTCTTGTCTTCTCTGTTTAATTTGGGATTAAAAGCAAAGGAAAGTATAGCGAGACAAGCTATCAGAACCATTTTATTTTTTATTTTATAAACCAAAGTACTTCCTTGATTGTTGGAATAATCATTGTTTAAGGAAAAAGTAATTATGGTGCATGGAAGATTGCAGAAAAACAGGATTTGAAACACACTTTTAGAATCTCTTTCCTTCCACAGGGAACCACCAGGCTGGCCCCCTTTTTTAACCTCGTTGTGAGAGCCTGATTGCTCCAATAGAAGTACTGTAGGTTTGGAGTCTGGTTGAATAAATTTTGAGTCAAATTCTCAAGTCAAATGGAAATACTATGCGATCATGAAGACTTTGACATTGTCTCCTGCTGTTCTCCTTTAGATCTTTCAAATTGAACTGATTTTTCTGTAAGGAAAAGCTTCCTTTGATGTTGGTTTTAATAAGGTATCTGCTATTCCAGTGCAGAGTCCACTGGAGCTGCTAGGACTGATGGCAGAGGTGCCCAGGTGTGTGTTTCTCACTGCTGATTTCTACAGAATCCCCCACCCCCTTCTGCTCTGACCCTGTAGATGGATGTGGGAAGTTGTGAAAGATAGATACTTTATCTGGAAATAAGCACTGAAAATGAATGCCCCCATAATGCCCAGGAACAGTGGAGCCAGGGTGTGGTCACTACTGTCTGTGTGATGTACATAGGAATGTCTTACACAACTGCAAGACCCCACTGCTACTGTTAGGGCACTTCAGGGGTGTATTTTAAGTGATCAGATATTATTGACTTTGGCTCAAAACTAGTATGACCAGGCCTTACTTTCATTGATAAATACTATTTGTTAATATTTCAGCTATTTCTTTTTTCTACTCTACAAGTGAGCCAGGATGTCTTTCGGTTACTCCCCTGTTGCAGAAATGTGTGTCTGGCCAGGTTATTTATGAATTCTGGTATATATGCTGGCTGCAGTTTAGGAACACCTTTCTCCTTGAGCTCTCAGAAGGTCTTAGAAGGTCACCAAGCTCTCAGTTTCATTGGGAAGGATCTTGAGCATTGCCTGATGTCCTCACTGTACTCACAAAGGGCTAGCCGCAAATGTCACTTGCCCAGTCTTCAGTCTTCTGACTTAGAGATATAATCACGTCGCAGATCTCTTGGCCTCGATCTGAAAACTGCTGCCTGCCACACCAAGGAGACTCGCATGCCACTACCACCTCACTGGGAGGGTGGCTGCGCCCACCGCCCCCCACCCCACCTGACAGCTGCAGCTGCCTTGCCTTGCTGCCACCTCCCTCCAGGGCCCCTGTTCAGACAAAACAACAGAACACAAAGAGAAAAACACCCAAGACTGTGTTTGCCTCCCCTGACTGCCTGACTGTCTAGGGCTCAAAATGCCCCTGCCCCGCTGCTAGGGGACCAGTTGGTCTGACTTGCTTCCTTCAAGCTGCTGCCTCTGCAGCCAGGGTCTGTGCAGGGTGTAGCCGGGTCCTCCGGGCACTCGGCTGCCTTCAAGTGCACTGTGTGTACTTCCCAGCAGATGCCAGGACCTGCCTTTTCTATGCGCCTCACTAGCTTACCACCCTGTGCAGGTCATGCAACCTGTTTTGTCTCATGAATCTTTTTCTTTTCCTGCCACCCTTTATTTATCAAGCGTAATGTTACACTTTAAAGGACAGCAAATATAAACTTTATAGAATCCCACCAGGACTTTGCTAACAATGTTTGGAAATGAAAAAAGAAATGCTCTGAAAAATATCAGCCACCAAAATAGTTTTTGTTGGAGCTGTGTTCACACGCATGGTCCCCACACCCCAGGTCCCCACACCCCAGGTTGGGTGGGTTTTTGTTTTTTGGGTTTTTTGGGCTTTTTCATGTTACATCCATATCTGTATTTATATCTTGTTTCACTTTCAAGTGTATCACGGCAAATGTACAGATTTTTTTGTTAATAATGTGCTAGGATTTGCTAAAAAAGAAAACAAACAAAAAAAAAACCCTTTTGAGTTTGCCCTAGAATAAATGAAACTTAATTCAATGTCCTGTATTGACACTATCTTTATTGTCTCTGGCCCTATGGGCAGCTGGTCCCATCTCCCTGCCAGCGGAACGTGGCCCTGTTTATTCAGAATTCAGGATGGTGCCTGTGGCTCAGTGGGTAGGGCGCTGGCCCCATATACCGAGAGTGGTGGGTTCAAACCCAGCTCCAGCCAAACTACAACAAAAAAAATAGCTGGGCATTGTGGCGGGCACCTGTAGTCACAGCTACTCGGGAGGCTGAGGCAAGAGAATCGCCTAAGCCCAGGAGTTGGAGGTTGCTGTGAGCTATGACATTACAGCACTCTACCGAGGACGATAAAGTCAAACCTTGTCTCTACAAAAAAAAAAAAAAAAGAATTCAATAGGAGGCAGCGCAGCGTCCGTAGCACAGTGGTTATGACGCCAGCCACATACACCAAAGTTAGCAGGTTCAAACCCTGCCCGGGTCAGCTAAAACAACAATGACAACTGCAACAAAAAATAGCTGGGTGTTGTGGTGGGCGCCTGTAGGCCCAGGTACTTGGGAGGCTGAGGCAAGAGAATCACTTAAGCCCAAGACTTTGAGGTTGCTGTGAGCTGTGGTGTCATGGCACTCTACTGAGGGCAACATAGTGAGACTGTCTCAAAAAATAAAAAAAAGTTCAGCAGGAGTATTGCAAGAGAGCGCTTTCTCCTGATAAAAAAAGGTCCACCTGAGAAATGTCTCACCTGGTGGGGTCTCCAGGAGTGGCTGCTGTGCTGTGCATGCAGTGACAAGGTCAAGGATAAAGATGTATGGGCTGTGTGGAGAGATCCTGGGACTAGACTGAGCTGCTGAGAGCAGGTGGGTCCCCCGTGCGCCTGCTGCCTCTTCAGTAGGCTGGGGGGTGGGGGAAGGAGGGGTGAATGATGTGAAGGGCTCTGGGTGCACTTTGCAGCCATTTTATTCTCCAATTTTTTTTTAATTGTGGTAAAATACACATGACACAAGATTTACCTTCTTAAAGCATTTGTGAGCACACCATTCAGTGGTGGTAAATACATTCCGCTGGTTGTGCAGCCAGCACCATCATGATGTTCTGGAATCCGTCTCCATCTGGTAAAACAAGCCCCACATCCATTAAGGGCTAATTCCCATTCTTCCCTCCCTCAGCCCCTGGCACCACTGTTCAGCTTTGTCTGTGAACGTGCTTCAGGCACCTCAGATAAGTGGAATCATAGACAATATTTGTCCTTTTGTGCCTGGATTATTTAACATCATGTCCTCAAGGTTCATCCCTGTTGTCACATATCAGAATTTTCTTCCTTTTTAGGGCTGAATGATAATCCACTGTGTGGATAGATCACATTTTGAGAAGCTGTTTATTAAGAACAGTTTGTATTTTCCATCATGTTCCATGGTATCTCTCAGGTACCACCATCCCATGACCTTGTGCCCCTTTCTCCACTGGCCCACAGTCTTGCACCTGTTTTGAGACGTGACTGCAAGCTACTCTGAATCCCAGATACTTGAGAATCCCACCTCCACCCCTCCCCTTGGGCAAGTCACTTCACTTCCTGCCTCAGGGTTGTCATTTATAAATTGAGTGGAAAACTTCCCGGCTCAGCTGGTGCAGAGTAAGTGCTCCCTGTGTTCACCTGCCCTGCCTCCCACTGAGGACTCAGAAAGCCAAAGAGGGTGAAGTGTGCAGAGTCCATTATTCATTAGCAAACGTGGAAAGCCCCTGGGGGCCCGGGACCAGGTTCAGGCATGGCTCGCTGTGCAGCGTTCTATATTTGGCCCTCTAGCCCTGGTGCCTTTGCCCCTCTTTATCCAAGACTGACCTTAAAAATGGCTGCCATGAAGTCTTTGCCATTCTTAAGAGGGTAATACATCGGCCATGGCTGGGGTTGTACAGAGGCCATCAGCTTTCTTGGCTTTGGGCAATCTGAATGGTCTCTCCAAAAAAATGAATCTTTCCACTCCGTTTGTTTGTTTGTTTTGAAACTTTGCTGCCCTAGTAGAGTGCTATGGCATCATAGCTCACAGCAACCTCAAACTTTTAGGTTTAAGCGATTCTCTGGTCTCAACCTCCGAGTAGCTGAGACTATAGGTGCCGGCCCCAACATCCAGCTATTTTTAGAGAGAGGGGTCTCCCTCTGGCTCAGGCTGGTCTCAAACCCATGTGCTCAGGCAATCCGCCCGCCTCGGCCTCCCAGAGTGCCAGGATTACAGGCGTGAGCCACCGCGCCCAGCTTTCCACTCAGTTTTGCACATAATCTTTAGGAGGTTCCAGGACCCTATGGAACTGTCTGAGGGCTCCAAGGGAAAAACCTCTGGCTTAAAGACCCCTGCTCAGACGTTCTTAGATTGCTAATGGGGGAAGCCGCTGGCAGGCAGTATTAACATCATTTGTGAGGCACTTAACACATCTGCAAAATTCTCATCTGTAGCATCACACTGATTTTTACACCAATCCTGAGATATGGATAAGGAAGGTGCTGTCACATTGGGTTTCCAGATGAGGAAACTGAAGCACAGAAAGAGCCCCAGCTACAAGCACATCCCTCTGGATTTACGGGGACTGCTCAGAGTGCATGACAGAATCCCCGGAGGGGCTTGTGAAGCAGAACGCAGGGCCTACCCCCAGTAGGGTTGGGGTGACAGTGTGCAGGTCTAAGTTCCCAGGTGATGCTGATAACTGCTGGTCTGGAGGCCACACTTTCAGAACTATGTAGGGCAATTTGCTTCAAACATGACAGTTTAGTCCTAAGATTTGGGACAATACATTGAGACAAACAGTTGGAGGAAATAGGGCTTAGACTCAGGAATGTCAGACCACCCCCATCATTAAGGGTACCTGATGACCAGCTAACTTAGTATCCAGGCCAGGACTTCTGGGAGTGAAGTGGGGATAGCATTGGAGAAGGGAAGCCGCATGGGGGCTAGGCTGCCTGGGCAAAGGCTCTTCTCAGGGAAAGCTCTTCCCCAGCAGGCTCAGCCCATTTCCTCCAGTATTTATTAACTCAGAGGTAAGTGGCTTCAGGCAAGAACGGGCAAAGGTCATGTGAATGGGTATCTAATCCCAGATTATGTATTGAAAAGACATTAAAATGCTTCCATGCTGTGCCCTCAGATTCCAGCTACCTCCAGGGCTCAGGCCTAGGGGTTGACTCTCCAGGACCTCAGCCCCTGGAGGCGCAGCCTTCCCAGGCCAATTCCCAAGCAGCTCTGAGATGCCCTTGCCTTCCTTGGTACCAGGTCAGGCGCCCAGGTTCCAGCAGGAACAGTCAGGGTGGGCAGCGCCGCCTCCCACAGCGGTGTTTCAGGCTCGGTGCCTCTGTGGCCTCTGCTCCCCGACCATGAGGACCTGGAAAGCTCCCCAGGTGGGTCCAGTGCCAGCCTCCACTCCTGCCGTTCCCCCCTGCGTAACTTCCTCATCCTTCAGTAGTGACAAGAGCTGGCACCTGCTGAGTGCTCACTGCCTGACTAGCTCTGTTCTAATGCTTCACTGAGCTCCGTGACTTACTCCTTACAACAGCCCTATGAAGTAGGTCCTATGACTATTTCCATTTTGCACACAAAAAACATGCACAGAGAGGTTGAGTAACTTGCCTGGGATCACACAGCTAATAAGGAGTAGTATTGGTATTCAAAACCAAAGTCCAACCCTAGACTGAACCAGAGTTCATCCTGTGCCTCTGTCCTCCTGTGAGCCTCTGTTCCATTTCCCAGCCACCGGACTCTTTTTAGCAAGTTTGGGGGGTCCTGATTACAGGCCTGCCCAGCTGTCAGCTGTATGGGCTACACAAATGTTTGTCAGCTCAAGGTAAACATTTGGGCAGCCCTCTTTCAAAGTGGGCCTGGTAGGGGAAGCAAGGCCCCCTTTGGGTCAAGTCTGGGGCTTGAATCTAACCCTAAGTGACTCTAGGTAAGAGCAACCTCGGTTTCTTTCTCTGTAAAATACTAGGAGATGGGAAATGGGGGGTTGTGAGAATTAGCATGCTATGTTGAAGTCCCTAACATACTTAGTTCTTGACAACCTCAACAAATGTCATCCACCATGATTCTTATATTATTGTTGTTATTACTGTTATTGAGGCACCTTCCCTGTATTTGTTTTGTTTGGGTTCTGTTGGCTCTTTTAAGACGGAGACTCCCTCTGTTGCCCAGGCTAGAGTGCCATGGCCTCAGCCTAGCTCAGAACAATCTCAAAATCCTAAGCCAGAGATCCTCCTGCTGCAGCCTCCAACTGGCTGGGACTACAGACATGTGTCATAATGCCAAGCTAATTTTTCTATTTTTAGTAGGGACAGGTATTATCCTCGCTCGGGCTGATCTGGAATTCCTCAGTTCAGAGAATCCTCCTGCCTCAGCCTCCCAGAGGGCTAGGATTACAGGTGTGAGCCCCTGCTCTAGGCCATGCCCAGTTTTTGACACGGAAGAAGCTCGGTAAATGTTTGGGCAAACATATGAAAGACTTAGCATCTCTGCCCCTTAATACTCGGATATATTGGGAAAGATGCGCGCACAAACTAAGGACTTGCAGGTGCCTTTCTTATCTGCGGTGGGGACAAGTGGAGGGGAGAGAACAGTGCAAGCGTCCCCTTCTGTTCACAGGCCCCTCAGTGCTAGCTCCTCCCTGCGCAGCCCTGTCCTCTCCGCAGCGCGCTGGCCACCCACGCCTGCGGTGCACTGGCCGTCCACCGGGGACTCCAGATTCGCACAGCAGCCAACTTAAGGCATCCTAGGCGCCTCAGATGGAGCATCGCCAGGCTTTGTCTCCCTAACCTGTGGTTCCATATTTTGGATATGCTAATACCAGACCCCGTCCCAGCCTCTACCCCACCCTCAGCCCACCCCACAGCGGTCTCCCCGGCCTCCCCTTCTCGCCCGGCCGCCGCCTGCCCTACCCCACCGACCCCGCCCATACGCAGCTGCTCCGCCCCTCTCCTAATGAAGGAATGAATAAGTGTGCGGTTCCTCCAATGAGATGTGACCTCAAGGGCGTGACTCCTGGGACTTTTTCTGTTTACCTG